AGTATGTTGTTGAAAATGACACGTAGCCAATCAGAAGAAGTGGCGGAAGCCTGCTCTATGGAGTGAGGGGGTGCCAAATACTTTTCCTCATCAACCATGTTTTGTTTAATCCAAAGTCATGTTTGATCTTGAGAGGTTTTGTGAGATTGCTGGTATTGAGTGAAATCATTGTGTGTAGTGTGTTATTTTAGCTGTGTGGCCGGACACCACACACTGTAGAACCACCATATGATTGTCACGTGTGCAGTGGCGGTTCTACATGGAATTACTCCCCGGGCGAGGCCCCCTTTGAGCGCCCCCCCCCCACACACACACCCCACCACCACCACGCCACCCCACCTGCACGAACACGCGCATGTTTTCTACAAACAGGCATGTTTTATTAGAACGACTATTGAACATTCATTTTTCTAAGTTGCACATATTTACATTAATTACCATGAATTTGTCAGAATGTAAAGCAATATACATTATATGCTGTATCAAAATATATAGAATCAAATATACAAAAACAAACAATAACTAAATATTAAGAATATATGAACATAATAGATAATAAATATTCTAAATAGCAAAAATATTTCACACATAACAAAGTAAAGATAATCACTACAGCATTGCACTTAGAATAGAAAACACAAACTAAAATTAAAACCTAACCTTGATGCAAAGTCATCAATAATGTCATCATATGAAATCTGCTCCCCTACTGAGTGATTGATACTAATCAGAGCCAGGTTAGTGAGCCGCCCCTGAAACATATTTGACCTCAGGTATGACTTGATCAAGTTTTGAAAAGCTCCTCTCAGCTGGAGCCACAGTGACTGGCAGAGCAGTCCAAAAGCTGGGGTAGATCTCCAATAGATCTTTATCATGACCCATAATATTTTAGATTTGCCTCTGAAATTGTAATTTAAACTGGCATAAAAAAACTGTAGACTACCAAAAATGCCAACTTTTACAGAACAAATCATGTAAAAAGAATCAGCGCAGCCATCTGCAATAAATAAACAGGACAGTTAGTGGTGACTGGGGAGTTTTCTTCTGCTTGTAGAGTTGTTTTATTATTATTATGTGAACATGATCAACATGTGTTTGTTGTTGTTCAGGCAGGCCACAGGCTGCAGCGAGCATTTAACAAATCCTAGTTGGAATCAGTAAAAAACGATTCTAGGAATTTTTTCGAACCATTTGAATATTCGTTTCAATATTTCAGCTCTATTAGCTCTGTTAGCAATTAGTTGACCGAATTTAACCGTTAAAATCCCAGTTAACTGGTTCAAAAAATTGAAAACATGCATCATGAGAGGTACATACCTTTATTTTTCTCCTCTTTTTTCTTTTTTTTTCCTGAATCGGGCATCTGGTGGTTTTAGCCTTTTTATGTTAATTTCTTCTGTTTGGCTCTTGACTCAATAAGTTTCCTTTAGTCAGGACTAAACAATGTGACCTTGATGGGGGGGGGGGGGGGGGGGGGACACCACAAACTCATTTTGTTTTTCCTTTTTTTATTCGTCCATTTCACACAATTCAGAAAAACCTGAAAGAATGATAGGCCTGTGTTTCCAATCAAGACACTGTGATATGACAGATAATAGAAAACCTCGGTGCGGCGCAGATTACTTTCTTTTTTATTTTTTACTCAGCGCTTGTGCGCCCCTTTTGTGTCATGAAAAAAATGCCGCCCCGGACAACTGCCCTGTCTGCCCGTGCCTAAAACCGCTACTGCACGTGTGGGATCTTTCATGCCTTCAGTATTGTCTAACAATGTAAAAATCTTGCCATGTGAACTGGACCTAAAATTGACATGCTTCTGATGAGGATCCCCAGCTTGACTTCGAGGTGTTTCAGGCACTAGATGGAGAGACCAAAGATATCTAGACTCCTCTATGCCCCAACCTTGAAAAGGCGATTGAAAATGGATCGATTCTTTAAGACTATAATGCTGTTTACTTAAAATAAATAATAAACCAACCCTCAAATCATTTATCAGTGTTGACTTCTTCGTACACAGTATTACTTAAACATGGCCCTGCTGAGAGTAATGCAATCATCCTTCAATGCTAAAAGGTCCTGGAACACATACATAAAGCTATTTCCTTAATGTGCTTACATGATTAATAGATCTGTTGAGTGTTGGGTTTTCCCAGTCACCTTTGTGAAGGAAGGAATGAATCATGTAGCAAAGAAGTGACAGGGTTCTTCTCAATAATCTGCCTTTGTACCATCAGGTGATTGGTCCGATGAAAGGAGGTGTTGTTGGTCCCAAGGGTGATGCTGGGTTTCCTGGATCTCCTGGCCCCAAAGGAGAATCAGGACCACCAGGTACACACAAACACACTAATAAAACAATCAGGAAAATATTTTACAATTATCCCCTTTCAGATAAGTTTGTCGTTTAGCTTAGACTTTTTAAGGCGGGGCTATTTAAAAGAGGGTTCTAATAAGTTACTATTTTATGTTGCAAGGATCTTCTTGTTGCTCATAATGATTTTCAATCACGTTTAGTTTTGGGTTGATAAATAACAAGTACCAAAACTCATTTAGCATTCTTTGTACTAAATGTATACTCATAAAATCCCTAAATGTTAAAGAAAATACAGAAACTACTGTGGAAAGTTCCCAGAATCTTTAACAGAAAAACAATAACTTCACAGTTTAACAAGTTAAATAACAGTTAACTCATTCACTGCCAGCCGTTTCCTGATTGCTAAAGGCCTTCGCTGCCAGCGTTTCTCACCGTTTTTACTGCTTTTTTAAGAGTGACAGAACGTTTCGCTAGGATGATGTCGACACCAAAACAACCAAAACAAAGAGGAGAGTCACGTCTTACATCAGGAAGAATCCGCGTGTTTTGAGCGTTATCTGTTCTTTCATAATTCGTTGCTGAATTGTGATCGGCAGACGCTTTTCCGGTTTGCGCCTCACTTTTTTTTTACAGGAACGGCCCAAAACGATCTCCTAACACATGGATTTTCTGCTTCCTGATCATGTGACGTGTGACGTATGCGGATGAAGATCGGCTTCAGAGCTGAGATGTTTGTTCTGTCAGCACGGGGGCTCGTTACGATGCCCAAACAGTGAAAAAAAGTTGTCATTGGCAGTGAATGAGTTAAGGTAAATACAATTCCAACCCAAAAGACATATGTTTAATAAAAGCATTGTTTGACCCTTGACCTTCAGGTTTGACAGGACCCCCAGGAGCACCAGGACTTCCAGGTGTAGGTGGCAGTGGACAACCTGGGCCTCCAGGTTTCCCAGGTGATAAGGGTCAGAAAGGAGATCCCGGGACAGCAGCAATCTCTTATCCGGGTCCTCCTGGACAGGATGGATTCCCGGGACTTCCTGGAGTACCGGGGCCCCCTGGACCTCCAGGCGCTTCTAGCTCAGGACAAAACTGCATCCCTGGGGAGCCGGGGCCTCCTGGGCTCCAGGGTGAAACAGGTTACCCGGGAGAGCAGGGCCAGAAAGGTGAGGGCGGATTTTCACTTAATTATTACAAAAATAATTCATGACTTATCGTTAAATGAATAATAAAAGGGGAATCGGTCAGAACTTGAAACCAGCGAGCTTTCTGTATTTCAGGTCAAAAAGGAGAGACGTGTGTGAACTGCTTCAGTGAAGGCATTTCCACACCTGGACCCCCAGGACCTCCAGGGCCGCCTGGATTTCCTGGTAACAAGTTTCACATTTACCACGTAAAACCACCATAGCACCAGGGGGGAAATATCTGAGCTGTGTCTTTATTTCTGCTTTTATTCATTTGTATGGAAGGGGCGGTACTTAAAACCTTTACTGAAACCAGCCACTAGGGAGTGCATTTTTTTACTTTTTCTCAAGAACCACATTCTTGTGTGCGATAACGATGGATGTTGATGAATTTATGAAACAATTCACTGTTTAATGTGCTGTAAACTGATATTTGAAACACAAATTAAGAATGTTTTAATTTCCTTGATCCTCCCTCTTGGATGTTGCATTGGTCTTAAATGTCCTGGTCCACGATGACTCCAAACTTGACACAAGAGGGAGGCTCTTGGAGTATCCCGAGGAATTCGAGACCCCTCGCAAACATTTAGAGAAACTTTGGAAATGCTCTCAAGAAATGTTGCAAATTTGTCAACAAATTCTGGCTTTATGAAAACAATGAAATCCCAACTGTATTACTTGTAAAAAAGATGTTTATGTTTTCTTTTTCCCCATCCATCAGGAAATAATGGCCCACAAGGGATCAAGGGAGACAGAGGATTACCGGGAACACCTGGTTTTCCCGGACCTTCTGTTAGTAGTTTATATTTTTGTAAAAGCATTACCAACTACAGTTGCATAATATCTTTACAAAAAGAAGGGAACTATGCAATGAAATATGTTAGAGATGATAGTCAAGATCACATGTTTCAGAAAACTCAATGTTACTTAGTTGAACTGTTTAGATTTAAGTGTCTAACGGTAGTTGGGTGCTCCACCTTTGAGATTAGTTTTAGCATCAAGCTGTTGTGTAAATGTGAATTTGACCACAACATTTACTCAATAACCATTAAAGTACTATTTAATTTTCCATTTCTTTGATCTTTTGGACATTTTTACCAAGTTTGAGATTAATGTTAAAAGTTCCTATTGACACTAGCAGGGTTTGGGTAGTTATTGTCCATTGAATTTGCTGTGAAGCTGAAATTTTCACCATCTAAGGATAGATACATTTAACAATGCTACAAAGAAGACATGATGATAGAAGTTTGTGGTATAACTCATTTAATGTAATACTTACCAACTGTTTGTCATTTTTAAACAACAGTTAGGTTTCATCGGTAGCTAATTTAAGCTTGACAAACTTTTTGTTTCCTTTTCAGGGTCAGCCTGGTCCTCAAGGTTTACCAGGCCTTTCTGGGGAGAAAGGTGACCCAGGTGATGCTCTTACACTTCCTGGTCTGAGAGGAGAGAAGGGTGACACTGGCTTCCCCGGACCACCAGGTCTGCCGGGCTTGGATGGTCGACCTGGTCGTGATGGGCCAACCGGACCGCCTGGTCCCAAGGGAGCTCCTGTTGGTGGCTTTCATTAAGTCTGTCCATTATTTTTATCAACCCAGTTATTCATGCTTCATTTTATAACTTGTATATTTGTGATTATGACCTGTAGGGTTCTTTACTAATAAAAGGAGAACGAGGGTCTCCTGGTGAGCCAGGTTTCCCTGGTATTCCTGGAGACAGAGGCCCCCAAGGCCCTCCTGGCTTTGGACCTCCAGGACCATCAGGGGAAAAGGGTGTTCAAGGCATCTCAGGAATACCTGGAGCTCCTGGTGCACCAGGTAAGGAAAATATAATTGAGCTATTCAATTGTTAGACAAATAGACTAGTCTCTGCTTTTTGCGAAGGGAGGTTTTCGGCTAGAATGAAGATCACCTCCAAATCTGTGGCCTTGGTTAATAGTAGTCAAATGGTGGATTGCCAACTTCAAATCAGAGGAAAGGTACTTCCTCAAGTGGGGGAGTTTGAGTTTAAAAAGTCCCATAGTCATCATCACACACTGGTGAAATTCATCTCCACATTTAACCCATCCCCATGGAGGGGAGCGGTGAGCTGTAACGGTGAGCTGCAGCGGTGGCTGCGCTCAGGAAGTGTTTGGTGGTTTAACCCCCCAATCCAAGCCCTTAAAACTGAGTGTCAAGCAGGGAAGCATTGGGTCCAATTTTAAAAGTCTTTGGTATGGCCCAACTGGGAATCGAACCCTGATCTCCCAGTCCTGAGTCTACCACTCGGCCACTGAGCAGGAAATGTTAAATGGCCTGTATTTGTATGGTTCTTCAACACCGCAAGGCGCTTCACAACACAATCGGTCATTCACACGCTGGTGGGGATGAGTTACGATGTAGCCACAGTTGCCCTGAGGCACACTGACAGAGGCGAGGTCTGCCAAGTACAGGCGCCACTGGTCCCTCTTACCACCACCTGCAGGCAAGGTGGGTTAAGTGTCTTGCCCAAGGACACAAGGCTCGGTTGGAAGCCACTGAGATGTAGTTGGGATTGAACCTCAAACCTTCAGATTACTGGACAACCCGCTCTACCTCCTGAGCTACTGCTGTCCCACAAGACCCTGAAAATCTTTGTATTGTCTTGTATTTAGAGATAGGATAAAGAGCTTGGACATTTGGAAGAGACTCAGAGTAGAGCAACTGCTTCTAAATGTCCAGTGTCAAGTCCTCCATCAGGCTTGTGCCTCTTCTAGTGTCATTTTAAAGGATTTTATTTATTTATTTAACCATTACTAGATTACCAGCAACAGCAATGCTACTAAAAACACACAATTATGTGAAGCTGGGAAAAAAAAATTCCATGCAAAATTACATTCATTTCTGTAATTTAACTAGACTGAGAGACCATTTAAAGGCTCTGGAACCTTTACAGGTGTTTCTATTTGCAATTTTAAATTTTAGCTGATTGGTGCCTTGTTAAACATCACACAGTGACCTTTTAGTAGTCTAGGTAAGTGTAATGCTCCTGTTAGTAGTTCCTCCTGTTAAGTGCTTATTTATTTAAATAATTCAGGTTTATAAAAAACATTTGGACATGCATTTTATTATGTTCCAGTCATTAGTCATTTATATTTCACTATTGTAGTAATTCTTGCATGCTTTAATGAAAAAAGTAACTAAGTAGTTATTTTTCTTGGTAATTAGTTACTTTTATAATCTTGTAACTCAGTTAGTAACTGAGTTACGTTTTTGACAAAGTAATCAGTTAACTAATTACCTTTTTTAAGCAACGTTCCCAACACTGGTAATCGATCTGCGCATTTCCCCAAATTAGCACATATCGATAGCGGATAGTTGGAAAACCAGTAGTCTTGTATTGTGCTATCGTTTCCATCTACTGACAATATTTGTCTTGTCAGTTCCTACCTGGCTTTTCACTTTTTATACTGTTTTTAAAGTGAGTGTGCACTGCCAGGGATGGGATAAGTGCACTGGAAAGATATTTAATGATTCATAAGCTGTAGCTGGTACCACATTTTTTAACCTTAACAGATCCTGTGAGAAACTTCTTTGATGAATAATTGTGTTAGATGGAACCATCACACGAGATGTCTACGTCAGGGATCCTCATTTCCAAAGAAATGGTTTAAAAGTACGAAATATTATTTTCACTCATGGAATGACACAAACCATAAACACCCTAGAATTACAATAGAGTATAAATAATAGAGTGCTAATACCTGCCTGAGGAAACATGAACTAATG